AAACGTATTCAGTAAAATCCAGATGGGTTCAAATAAAGGCAACTGGACCAAAGAAGCCCTTTTGGATCACCATGACCTGAATGACTGAGAACCTTCACCAATGACAGACTCAAGGCTGATTCATGATTCTCCGTCTGCGTCAGTGCGGAGACACGCAACGCCATTATCCGTCCTTGTGTAGGCCTCCGGCAGGCACGCAAGTACGTACGGAGTCAAGCCCACTTTTTTAAACATCCGTCGAACGAAACGGATTACGCAAGCTTGTGTTGGTCAGGATGCCGCTGTTGTTTACAGCGCCACCATTGCACCCTCAGAAACATAAAGAGAGCCGAGGATAACTAGCGGCAGACACGGAGAAGCTTGAAGAACACCTCGCGAAAAAACTAAAAAAATATGAACGTTTAATTCCCCCGTGACTGGAGGAGTGAAAAGATGCGCAGCAAGCGTTTTATTTGTGGACGGAAATGACAGGAAACGTGGGTTTAGAGGTGGGGAGCGCATGAAGAGGTGGAGGAGAATGAGAGACAAATTTGTCTGTGTTAAAAAGTCTCTTATATACACAAAAAACACAATATAAACACACTTTCTTGGACCGATACATGACAGGATACCACAGAACAGCGCTACGCCCTCTGTTGTCCTGCCGGGCAATTGCTTTGCAACAATCTCCAGGAGACGGAGAAGTATGAGAGCAAAACGCTTCCGTCAATCCGTGCGTGTCTGTCCCTTGCGGAGCTGACGGATTTCCTGAAAAATAAGTGTTCAAATGTTTAATTTTATTTTTTATCGCATTTGTTCCATCCATCCCCCCACCCCACGAGGGTTGAGTCACGGGGGCAGCAGCCCAAGCAAAGTGCATGCAGAGCTGCACATGAGCACTGAATAGGGTCCATTCTGATTATTGAGAAAGCTCACAATCATCACAAGTCATGACAACAGAGGATACGCGAGGGCAATCAGAGAAACAGGTGGTTAGGAGAGTCAAATGAACAATTATGGACAAACGGAGCAGATCCTGACACCTTTATAAACAAAAAATAAAAAAAGAATATAATCTTTTGTAATGAAATTTTTATATTCAGTTACTCCAAAGTGGATTTTTCCTCATTTTAATATTGATTTTTATATTAAGATTAAAATGGAGCAGAATAAAGGTGAAGGAAATTGGGAGAATATTGTTATTGAAAGATTGGATAGTATTCATAAAGATTTATTCCAATATTTACAGATGGCTCAAAAGACTCAGGAAATGAGAGCACAGATTTCTCTTTTTGTATTCCAGTTTTAGAAAAGTGTATAAAATTCAGAACTTCTAGCTTATCAGTTTTTACGGTGGAATTGTTAGCGACTCATTTAGCTTGTGTGGTACTCTATATGTTTAGATACTGTTTGACCATCCAACATCTGGTCAAAAAGGAGACACGAGACTGTATGTGTCCCCTCTAAATCAGCCTGCCTTCGTCCCACCAGCTGGAGCTCAGAGCCTGCAGCTCTGACACAGATAATGAAATGTCAACAATAACATTCTCTCCTCAAGGTCCGTCACAGAGCACCCTTTTATCTAAGACTCCTTGCTTCACAGAAGAAAGAAGATTTAAAATTAAATATGAACTTCTAAAATTTATAAGCTAGATAATCATTAAATAAACATTTGTTTATTGCTACTTATAATTAATACGATGAAATGCTTTCATTAATCTGTGCTCAATGATTGAAGTTTGAAATGAATATTAGGTTGTGATTACATTGATTGATATATGTTTCAGCATGTTTACTTGACAAGGTCATCACCATTTGCACTCACACAAGAACAAAGTAAGGTAAAGTTAAACCCATGACACATAAATAGTCTTTCACCCAGATCAGAGCTTCTGGATCAAAGAAGGCGTGTGCTTCTGAGATTCTTGGTAATATTCCTCAAACTTGTCAACCTTTGGTTGGCCACACAATCATAACATGAGAACATTAAAACCAGATCACTCAGGTTTTTCCTCAGTTCTTGAGTAAGCGTCTGACTGGCCATCTGAAAGCAACATCTCATTAACCATCAAAGCTTTTGACACGTCGTCAAAACCGTTTTGCACCTGCGAAACTGATAAAGCAAACAGTTCCTGCAGAACGAGCTGACATTGTTTGGACTCCTTAAGAGTTCACCAGAGACGCGCGGTTCCATCCATCTGTCGTGACCTGAGGCATCTCTGGACTGAAGGGTCGGTGCCATGGTATTCTACAGCCCTTCGGTGCCAGAGGTCATCCAACCTCCCTGACCTTTGGATCAACCAAGAGGGTCTCTGAAAACGGGTGAAGTAGACACGGCAGATAGCGCCTGATGTGCTTTTGATAATAATCATCTTCATAGCTTAACGCAACCCAAATTCTTTTACATCCAGAACTCAGCTCTTCTAGATACGGAAGTTCTGAATTACATCGCATTCACACAAAGGTTCATACATCACATCTAGTTCCATCCATCACAGTAAATGTTAGTTAACTAGTCATGTTTTAATTGTTGGTAAAATAAATTCTTACTTTTATAAACCTGACTCTTTTCTGAATCAAAACGAAGTGTGTACAATTCCTTAATAAATAAAGAATCCTAGAATCTTCTGATAAACACTGTAAAGACCAAGCAGGGTTGATATTCTATATTTAGATAGAGTATTACATCTTATTGGTCATAAGTAGAGGTAATATCTATTGAGCTCTTACTTTGGATAGAACAAAATGGTAGAAATTCCATATATTGTCAAAGAAGTGAAGGCGATGATCAGGAAACAGATGAATGAATGGCAGGAAAAGTGGGTGAGGGGAGAAAAGGGAAGGCATTTATTTGGGAAAGGTGGGTATGATGAAAATGATGGAAATTGATAATAGAGAACAAACAATAATATCAAGGTTGAGGATGGGACACACAGGTTTAAATAGCACTCTTCATTTAACAGGGAAACATCCTACGGGTTCATGTGGAACAGATGCATGTTTTAGGTCATTAAATATGTGGTTTATAGAAAAATGTTCAAAGAAAAATTAAAAGTAAGAGGACATGGAGAATTGAGTTGAAGGACTTTGTTAAATGCGGATAACAGAATTTATAACTTAGTGTTGGAATTCCTTAGGAAAAGTAGTTTAGTTAAAAGAATATAGTTTTTTTTTAGTATTCCTCACTCTAACTCACACAGTAAGTGGCGGAAATGCACATTAAGTTGGATGCCACCCGCCATTTAAACAAAAGAAGAAGAATAAATAATGATCTGCATGAGAAAGAATAGGTTGGAAAACTGTGTAGTTAACTGGTTAAACACGTGTATAGGACTGGGTATGGCAAGTGTTTGATGAAGGTAATACTCCATCTGGATACTTTAAGGACAGATATGATTTAATGATAATGTGTGACATTATTTTAATGTTAATGGCTACGTCATAGACAATGAACCAGTTAGATAGTCTCTTAGATCCTATAACAGCAAATCAGAACATCAACAGGATATTTACCATATCAGCATGAGTTTAGTAAAAAACCTGTTTTCTAAAATAAACGCTTATCAGTGCTTTAGACTGTCAGACTAAATAACAATATATAAACGACTAAATTCAAACACCATGTTGTCACTAGATTTAGAAAAATAATACTTATAAACATTTGGTATGCTTCCTGGTGTGTTTTATGTGTAGTAACACACTCCCGCCAGGTGGGAGTGCTCTGGTACCCTCATCACATGAACTGATGAGGTATATATATATTTTTTTTTCATAATCATCTCTTTTTCTTGGCTTGTTTTAAGAAACGCACAACTTATGAATAGTCACGTGTTTCTTACCAATAATGGGCCACATTTCACGCATTCGTTCTTATTCTCAAAGTCTCCATTTAAAGTTGCTTTATTGTAGTAGCCAGGACCGATTTAGGAACACGTGATGTTGCAGCCACATTAGATTATGAGACCAACTCAAATAAATAAACACTCTGAACAAAGGTGGGGAAGCACCTCTCTCTCTCTCTCTCTCTCTCTCTCTCTCTCTCTCTCTCTCTCTCTCTCTCTCTCTCTCTCTCTCTCTCTCTCTCTCTCTCTCTCTCTCTCTCTCTCTCTCTCTCTCTCTCTCTCTCTCTCTCTCTCTCTCTCTCTCTCTCTCTCTCTCTCTCTCTCTCTCTCTCTCTCTCTCTCTCTCTCTCTCTCTCTCTCTCTCTCAACTTTGACATCCATCATTCGCTCCAGCTTCTCCGTTTGCCCCCTCGTCTCCAGCGCAGGGCGCGCGCTTTCAGGAGACCTACGGACAGGTGAGGATTGATATTTTCTGACTTTGTGGTCTCATTATGAACGCAGCTCTGAACGAGCTTAAAAAAGACAACTAAATCTACTATTTAAAAAGCATTATAATTTACTGGTAGATTATATCCCACAATAAAACAAGAGTATTATTATCTTTTACATAAATACTGCTCAGTTCACATTTTTATCAAATAGCACTGAATTTTCTTGCCTTGAACAAAAACAAATAACCTTTCAGGGAAGCCATTAGCATGAGTCATTGCTGTGTTTGTAAGGGCAATTATCCTGAAGCCCAGGATGATGAGAATGATCCGAACCCATTAATGAGGCAGCAGAAGCTACTTTCTCCAGTCTAAAGGGAATCTGCCTCTTTATTTATGTGAACAGCTTCCTTCTTCATCATGATGCGTGATCAGTGAGTCTTTGACTTTAATTGGATTAAACTGTTTCACTTGTTTTCTATCATTTTGAACATAATTTTACCATAAATGTGCTTTTCTTGCTGTTTTCCATCCCAGAGATATCTGTTTCATATCAGGAAACAAATGAAAAACAAATTAATATAGAGATGGACAGAAATGTATGTATTTTTTGGTTGATTATTACACAAACCTTTTCACGCAGAGCTCAATTGCAGCAACAGGGTATTTTTCATTTTCCATTGATGACATGTTTATATATATGTATATATTGCATTAAATCAGAAATCTGAGTTTTTTCTCAGAGGACAACACCTAGAAGCAGCAGCAGCTCAGGCGGTAGAGCGGGTTGTTCATTAATTGGAAAGTTGTAGGTTCTGTCCCGGCTCCCGCCAGAGAATGCTGCTGTAGTGTCCTTGGGCCAGACGCTTAACCCACCTTGCCTGCTGCTGGTGGTCAGAGGGACTGGTGGCGCTTCTGTCAGCGTGCCCCAGGTCAGCTGTGGCTTGCTCATCATCACTCGTGTGTGTGCATGTGTGGATGACTGGTTGTGTTGTGAAGCACTTTGGGGGGTTGTAGAACCCTAAGAAGGTGCTATACAAAAACAGAACATTTACAGGTGGGCAACTTCAGTCCTCGAGGGCCAGTATCCTGCATCTTTTTGTTGCTTCCCCGTTCCAACACAGGTCATTCACCTATTCAGCAGCTCATCAGGCTCTGCAGAAGCCGGTTAATCACCTGCTGATTGAAATCAGGCATGTTGAAAAAGGGGAAAACACTAAAACAAGCAGGATAGCGGCCCTAAAGAACCAGGAATGCCCACTCTTGATTTGGGGCAAATAAAAATGTATTTCACCTTTAAGCCCCTTTCCGTAATGCCTTTAATTTGTGAACGCACACGTCTGCAATTACAATGTTTTCTCACGTTATGCTATTAATTCATTATATATGTAGCTCCCGCTCTCTGGAATGCACTGCCGCTCACTATCTGTCAGTCACCATCCACTGGTGTCTTCAAGCACCGTAGGGTTTGGCTTTTAGATAGAGATATTTTACTTGTTTATTGTGTGTTTTAATTGCTGCTTTTATCGTTACTTTTATGTGTCTGTTTTTATGTTGGGAGGCGCTTTGGTCAGCTCCCATGCTGTTTTTTAAAATGCCTCATATAAATAAAATTAGTGTGGTAAATACAGTATAAACAATATATATTCCAGACTTGTCAATAAGAAATTTCACCAAGGTTGCAAATGTTTCACATTTGATTTTAAAGCAGAGATCCACCACTGTTGAAATTAGGTCCAAGGTAAGTTTTTGACTATTTTTGAGGTGCTTTTCGGCAAGTTTATTCTGTGGGCTTTCTTCACATTTGCCGGTTATGGAGTAGAGTCATGCAGTCATGGAATCTGTATTTTTGTAGCTGTGAAGGTGGCTGTAGCTGCTCCATGATTGGCCGTGTCCTTGCAGCTTTGTAAACAGCAGGAAAATGCCGCTCAGCTTACTTCCACAAACGCTATAGGAGCCTAAGTCTCCTCCCCTTCTGGTTGGCTCATCAGTCCCAAAACAACGACAAAAAGAATGCAAGTGAACGGAGCTGTTCAAGCTATTTTCTGATCCGCTTTGCCTTAACGCCCTGAATCACACACTATGTTGTATTTTAATTTAAATGAAAAGAAATGATGTGAGTTTTGACTTTGTCTGTCACATAATTTGAGATTTGTTAGCTTGTAAAAATTCTTACATAAAATTGCTACAATTCAGACCTTGCGTATTAGCCTGGCCCGCCAGACTTGTCCTCTGTTAAATGGGCTCGACACACGGGAGGCGACAAACGACCGCGATCAGCGAAATTTGTCACCGTCGCTTTTATTACCTGACACACGGGAGGCGATCCGTGGCAGCGGCCAGCGGCAAAGTCGTCTACGCGTTCTGTTCCATGGCGAAATCGAAACTTCCGTTGTTTTGTTTGGCTGTGTCAGGTTGGAGGGAATTAAGGTTATTTAAGTGGTTCAGAGTTAATAAAGTGGTAGATATGATGTTTCACAAGGTGCTGCTAGAGTTATGTGAAATCTTACTTCTGATTTTACTATATAAAACATAATAATAATCAACTTCTCCTCCATGTTTGCTCGGAGATGTACGGAGCATCCTGTCCGCTCATTGGTCAGTGAGTGAAACCTCCATTGAGTGGTCCTCGTCCAAGCGACAGCGATGACAAGTTGAAAATGTTTTAACTTTCTGGGATCGCGTCCCTGGGTCGCCTGTGCACGACACGTGCACGAGCGCAAAATTTCACACGCACGTTTTTCGCATTTCGCTTAGTAGGAGGGAGACCTGCGATTATCGCTTTGTCGCGCATGTCTCATTGAAAATGAATGGAGGAGAGGCGATGTCGCCTCCCGTGTGTCGAGCCCATAATTCTGTACAGAGAAAGGGTTTGGTAACTCTCTAATAACCTCGCCCCTTGAGAATCCTAACCGAGCCAATCAGCACTGAGCAGCGTATGTCACACAGTTTCTCATGAACAACGACGATGGTGTTTGAAGGTGAGTTCGCCGCGGCGCTTTCCTCTTGGACACCTCTTTAAAACCACAGCAAAAAAACCACTGAGCCTTTCTTCTACAGAAAGATGTTAGCGCCATCGCCAGGCTCCATTTTTGACTACATGCTATAGAAAATTTGATTTTAATTTGAATTTAAATTTGACTTGCTATAGAAATGATATTTTCTTCTTCTTCTACATCTAAAAAACTACAGCATCACGTGGTACAGTCAGCATTTCAGCATTTTTTTCTGATTGGTAATTTTTGAGCTTGTAAGTCCCGCCTCTCATGGGCCTCTCTGCCTTTAAGTAACCAGACGTACTCTGCTCAGTGCTGATTGGCTCGGTTAGAATTCTCAGGGGGCGGGGCTATTTGCATGGGAGAGTTACCAGACCCTTTCTCTGTGCAGAATCAAACAGAGGACGAGTCTGGCGGGCCATGCTACTGGCGTATGTGATGTCGCTGCAGAATCTCTCTTATCACATGGGCAGAATGTTTGCTTTGGTTTAATGCTCCTTCTGTCGTCCTGGAAGAGAGATCAGAAACTTGCTAAACTTACAGCCATTTTCTTCTCCGTGTCTCATTCAATGACATCAGTATGGTGAGAGGCGCTTGTAGTCCTACATGCATTTTCACACAAAACCTAAAATAACTTGCTTTTGTGTGAAAATAAGCGCTTTCTTGGCATCAAAATGTGTCTTTAAAGTTCACGGACATCATATGTGAAATCCATGGCTCATATTAGAAAATAGCTTTTATCCTCCCACTGACTTGCATTCATTTTTCTATTTTTATATCTGGAGACCCATGGTCCAGAAGAAGATGGGTGAGTTAGTCTCACGATGGGGTAGGAGCGAGCTTGGCAAAAGCAAAAGATATTTTTCTTAGATTATTTAACTGAATAAATGTTACAGAGTTCAAAAAATCATACTTAATTCCTAAAAAAGGAGAAACTCCAGGTTTCTACTTTGAGAATTTAAAAACTGTTAATGATGGCCATCTGTTTCTTCTTCCTTTTTGTCTTTAAACTACAGTTCTCTGGATTCGAACAAACCTCTACGACATCTCCAATCATTCATTCAGCTTTTTTAACCACGATGGAGCCCTCTTTTCACAGTTCCACCTTTTCCTCCCTGCTCTTCAACAGTAGCATACCCCTAAACTCCTCAACAAACAACAGCATTGAGCAGTTTACTGAAGTCAACCTGTTTGATATCCTTGGTCCAAAACGATCTCCCCTTTTCTTCCCCGTGACCACAATTTATCTTCTCATCTTCCTCACTGGCTTGTCTGGAAATCTGCTGACATGTGCAGTGATAGCTAAGCACAAGAAGATGAGAAACCCCACTAACATTTACCTCGTGAGCCTGGCTGTATCGGACCTCCTCGTGCTCATGTTTGGCATGCCCTTAGAGATCTATGACCTGTGGGAGAACTACCCCTTCCCTTTTGGTGAGGGCGGCTGCTACTTCAAGATCTTCCTGTTTGAGACAGTCTGCTTTGCATCTATTCTCAATGTTACCGTGCTGAGCATGGAGAGGTACATCGCCGTGGTGCATCCCCTCAAAACACGATACCTGTCCACCAACCAGCATGCCAAACGCATCATCACGGTGGTGTGGGTGGCGTCAATGGTCTGTGCCATCCCCAACACCTCCCTCCATGGTATCTTCTACTTGCCAGAGAAACTGGAGGAGTCAGCCATATGTACTGTGATCAAGCCCCTGTGGATCTATAACTTAGTGATGCAAATCACAACTGTGTGTTTCTATTTTGTGCCCATGATGATTATCAGCATGCTATACTTGGTGATGGGCATCCATCTGGGCAGAGAGAGGCAACATGCCAGGAGGAACCTGGGGAAGAACTGCAGCAACACCAGAAGGAAGATCAGTGCTGAGAACAGGCGCCGGAGACAGGTCATCAAGATGCTCTGTGAGTAGATCAACAACATGTTGAAAAGTGTTATCAGTTTTGGATTAGTTCCAATCTGACAGGATTTCTACTCATTAGCTCATTCTGATCACACACTTGTCCTAAAAAGTGAGATCGGGGTTATTAATTAATTCCTTTCATAAAAGCCTCTCTGACAACTCGGCAGTTAAAGGTGCAATATGTAAGAAAGAAGTAAAAATGACACCCTGTGGTCAAATTTGGTAACTTTAGGCCAAACAAGTCACTGTCTCACTACCATTCTGTGAGTGTCATGGCTGTTGCCAGCTACGGCTCAGCACCAGAAGATTCTAGATGACGATCGAAGATGACTCATCCACAGTAAAGCTTGGCATACACTGTGCGACTTTTTCCACACGTATGTATGGTAGCAACACGTCGGACCTGAAAATGTGCTAAAAATAGATTTAACACAACACGTTGGGCTGCTGTGCTGTTATTGACAGCTTGTTGTCCTTCAGGCTTATCGTAAGACAACACAAATGGGTTTATGGGGGTTGGAGGAGGAAGACAAAGGAAAGGACGTTTTGGGATCCTTTTTATTTGACATGAACCTGGAAAACACGCTTTCTTGCCAATCCTCATCATCGTGTGTGGAGTAAAGTGTAAAAATAAAAGGAAACCATGTGTGTTGGAGCCGGGTTGTGTGAGCATTTCTGGTACATTTAGGTTACAGCACTGCTTCAACAGTGCAGTCCTATCACAAGCAACTTGCAAAATGTTTGATATTCATGTGACTGAATGAATGCTTGATCGGGAGTTGGTCGTGAGGTGTTCATTGCTTCTCGTAACCCCTTGTATACTACACAATGCAAAAATCAACCCAACATCAAAGATTCTCGAACAAGAAGAAAATCGTCTCAAAATGGTCCAATAAAACCACACAGTGTACGTCTGATTGATAGAAAAATACATTTCACTGTGACATCCAGATGTTTGTAATTGAAAAAGAACCTTTAGTTATTTCGAGCTGACTATTTGCCTCTAATTCACAGTTAGCATAGTTAGTCCAACAATAGCTTAACGTTAGCTCAGCGTTAGCACAATGTTAGCTCAAAATTAGCTCAACGTTAGCCTCTAGCCTTCTTTACCCGATATGAGAGTAAAACAAAAAGATGCCGTGGTTCGTAGGGGTCAAAGAAATAATTTCTGGGTCACTCCTGTTCAGTGTTGGGAGTAACGCCGTTTAAGTATAACGGCGTTTCTAACGGCGTTCTTTTATAGGTAACGGAATATTCTAATTAATTACTTTTCCCGCCGTTGCAACGCCGTTACCGTTACTGGGGACGGAAGTTGTGCGTTACTATGTGTTTGTCGAACGTCGAGCAGCAGCGTGAGGCTTTCTGACCGCCACACTTCAGCTGCAGCCAGGGAGAGAGAGGTGTCGGTAACGCTCTTACAAACACGATGATTATTGGCCGGGTGGGCGGAGACCCTCAGTGTTCTCAGTGTCTCAGTCGCTGCTGCTGGAGACACAACAAAGCAATGACGGGAATAACTCCGTTTAAAATAACTGCGTTAATAAAAAATATTTCTTTCTGTAACGAGCAAACTAATTAATTACATCTTCTTTTATCAAAACGTTGTTCTATGGGGCCAATGGCCCCATATTGTTCATGTTACTGATAAGGAAATGCGTGCGTTAAGCAGCGCGGTGTGTTGAAGCGGTCATCAGCTGATCAGGAGCTAAAGAGGTAGATGTTTAAGAGCATCACGGCCCGTGAAGAACGAGGAAGACGTGATGAATAGTCTACGGCTGCAGACCCGCAGATTTGTTGCTGCAGCAGCGAATCTGCGGGTCTGCAACCGTGCCCTTAGCATGACAGCGCGACGTCCCGAAGGTCCGCTCACCTGTTCACCGCTCAGACGTCCTGATCTTCTACCTTCCTAGATCATCCAGCTGTAACCTGTTTCTGATCATGTCTTTAGTCCCGCTGCAACACTGATGCATCAGTCTCAGACGTCATGGAGCTCAGGTGTTATTAGAACTACCTGTGTGTGTTTACCACCCAGCTTCAGCTCTTCTGTGGTTGGGCCTGACCCAAGTTAGTAAATGTAAGTCTTCCATCAGATTTGTGCCTCTTCTAGTGTCATTTTAAAGGATTTATTTATTTAACCATTACTAGATTAGCAGCAACAGAAATGCTAGTAAAAAGACACAATTATGTGAAGCTGGAAAAATTAGAATGCTGTGCAAAATTACATTTATTTCTGTAATTTAACTAGACTGAGAGACCATTTAAAGGCTCGGGAACCTTTACAGGTGTTTCTATTTGCAATTTTAAATTTTAGCTGATTGGGGTCTTGTTAAATATCACACAGTGACCTTTTAATAGTCTAGATTAGTGTAATGTTCCTATTAGTAGTTCCTCCTGTTAAGTGCTTATTTGTTTAAATTATTCAGGTTTATAAAAACATTTGGACATACATTTTATTATGTTCAGTCATTAGTCATTTATATTTTATTATTGTAGTAATTCTTGCATTCTTTAATGAAAAAAGTAACTAAGTAGTTACTTTTGTTGGTAATTAGTTACTTTTATGATCTTGTAACTCAGTTAGTAACTGAGTTACTTTTTTGACAAAGTAATCAGTAACTATAACTAATTACTTTTTTAAAGCAACATTCCCAACACTGCTCCTGTTATTGCCTTAGGACTTTTACCAAACATGTTGAATTACAAATGACGGAGCTGCAGCGCTGACTCAGCAGATGTGCAGGCTCACCGATTGCTCAGCTAAAGCTTGGTTTATGCTTCTCTGTCAGCTCCGCAAGGGACAGACACGCACGGATTGACGGAAGCGTTTTGCTCTCATACTTCTCCGTCTCCAGGAGAATGTTGCAAAGCAATTGCCCGGCAGGACAACAGAGGGCGTAGCGCTGTTCTGTGGTATCCTGTCATGTATCGGTCCAAGATAGTGTGTTTATATTGTGTTTTTTGTGTATATAAGAGAATTTTAACACGGACATATTTGTCTCTCATTCTCCCACCTCTTCATGTGCTCCCCACCTCTAAACCCACGTTTCCTGCAATTTCTGTCCACAAATTAAACGCTTGCTGTGCATCTTTTCACTCCTCCAGTCACGGGAGAATTAAACGGTCATATTTTTAGAGTTTTATCGCGAGATATTCTTCAAGCTTCACCGTGTCTGCCGCTAGTTGAACTCGGCTCTTCTTGCAATGGCGGCGCTGTAAACAACAGCAACATCCTGACCAATCACAAGCTTGCGTAATCCGTCTCGTTCGACGGATGTTTAAAAAAGTGGGCTCGACTCCGTACGTACTTGCGTGCCTACCGGAGCCCTACGCAAGGACGGATAATGGCGTTGCGTGTCTCCGCACTGACGCAGACGGAGAAGCATAAATCAGGCTTAAGACAACGACCCTCTTTGGCCGTTATGAAAGGAGAAAATCTGACAACTCTGTGTGTGTGTGTGTGTGTGTGTGTGTGTGTGTGTGTGTGTGTGTGTGTGTAAAATCTGTTGATATCAGAAACTGCGCTGAACCTGCTGCTGTTTTGTAAACCAATTCCTTTCTAAATGGTTAAGTAAATAACTAGTGTTTGTTTGTTTGTTTGTTTGTATGTGTTAGTGTAAATGCTATTGTATATTTACCTTTGAGTTAAACATATTTGTTGTTATTCACATTTATCAAATCCATCTTTTTCTGTAAAAACTACATTTAAAATTAAGGCAAACACTGTTTCTCCACAGGAGTGTGTGTGTTTGTTCATTTTCATCTGTCTAGCCTGTTTAGATAGACAAAAATGACTACATTTATCAATTGCAGTGTTTTGTTTAGAAACATTTTGTCATGTTTTGAGGAAGATGTCTAACCCAAGACATACAGAATCAAGCACGGAGATGATGTAAAGGAAGAACAATAGTTTATTAAAATGTGGAGGTGAACTGAAGGCGTTCTGAAGATCCAACGGGAGGACGAGTCCGGAAGCGGTAACTAGGGGGAAGACCAGAGGTGAGTACTGGGAGTTGTAGTTCGGAGGAATTGTTTGTGGGCGGAACTTACGATGAGGAAGTTCGGGATGAATGCGGAGGGGAGATGAGCCGGGGTGATATCCAGAGAAGACTTGTGATTTCGGGGTGGATGAGCGGTGCTGACGAGGTGGATGAAGATGAGGCAGAGGAGAGAGAGCGTAATCGGTGGAGAGCGGGGCGGCTGGGTGGAGTCGTAATCCAGGCAGCGAACCGGAGAATAATCCTATGGTTTGGAGACGGGAACGGATCCAACGATGGTAAGTCTGTCGGTGAATGTCCAAGAGAGAAAAAAGCACAGGTTAAAACGGGTTCCAAAAGTCTCAAAGGTTCTAAGCTAAGACGAGGTTCGAAAACTACGAGAGGCTTGAGTCTACCAGGCAGTAGATAATCATCCAGCGTCGAACGAGGAAATGCCTCCTCCTTTTAAAGCCGCCCCACTGATGAGTCTGATGCCGATCAGCTGCGCTCCCTCTCCTGCAGGCAAAAAACCTCAGAGATGATGAGATGATGGGCAGAGTACTCACCCCGGCTCATGACACATTTCTTTATTTGATTAAATTTACCGGACTGCCTCTTCTGTTTTGGCAAAACACCAGCATCATGACAAAATGCAGCAGCAAATCTCTGAAAACGACCCAACCTCTGTGTGGAAAAGTTTCAGGAACATCACCAACTACAAACTCAGAACCCCCACCTCCATCGATAATCTGCTCTTGGCAAACAACCTAAACAATTTCTATAGAGCTCCGGGAGTTGACGTCACTTCTCCCGGCATGCAACAGTTCAAATCGAAACGGCGCCATATTGACATGTAGAAGCCAGCAGCTGGACTATTTGTTATTGTCAGAAAACTCAATCAGACAGGAAATATGGCAGATTCCTGTTGTGCCCCAGGATGCAGAACAGACGCAGACGACATAAGGAATGAGCCATCTACAGGATTCCCCAAGATCCGGAGCACTGAAGAGCTCGCCCCAGTGTTTACGAGCATCTTCCACTCCTCACTGGAGGCATCTCATGTGCCTGCCTGCTTCAAGATCTCCACCATAGTCCCTGTCCCCAAGAAACCAAGAATCACTGGACTAAATGACTACTGACCTGTGGCTCTGACATCTGTGGTCATGAAGTCATTTGAGCACCTAGTTCTCTCCCACCTCAAGACCCTCACAGCACCCCCCCCCCCCCCCCCCCCTGGACCCCCTGCAGTTTGCCTACAGAGCAAACAGGTCTCTAGATGACACAATCAACATGGCTCTGCAATTCATCCTGCAGCATCTGGACTCCCCAGATACCTACGCCAGGATATTGTTCATGGACTTCAGCTCTGCATTCAGCACAATCCTGCCAGACCTCCTCCAAGACAAAATGTCCCAGATGAACATGCCTGACCCCATCTGCAGGTGGATCACTGACTTCCTGACAGACAGGAAACAACAAGTCAGGCTGGGGAAGAATGTCTCGGACCTACGGACCGTCAGCACCGGCTCACCACAGGGCTGTGTTCTTTTCCCTCTGCTCTTCTCCCTGTACACCAACAGCTGCACCTCCAAACATGAGTCTGTCAAACTAATTAAGTTTGCTGACGACATCACCATCATCTGACTCATCACTGATGGGGATGCGTCCGCTTACAGAATGGAGGCTGAACGGCTGGTGTCCTGGTGCAGCCACAACAACCTGGTGCTAAACACCCAGAAGACAGCAGAGGTTGTTGTGGACTTTAGGACCCCCCCCCCCCCCCCCCCCAAACCTGTCCGACACTCCCATAACGATGGTGGACTCATGTCGCTTCCTGGGCACCACCATCACCCAGGACCTCAAATGGGAGCCCACCATCACCACCATCAGAAAAAAGGCCCAGCAGAGGATGAACTTCCTGAGGCAGCTGAAGAAATTCAACCTATCACCACAGTCGATGAGGCAGTTCTACACCGCTATCATCAAGTCCATCCTCACCTCCTCCATCACCGTGTGGTACGCTGGAGCTACCACCAGGGACAAGAAGAGGCTGCAGCGTGTCGTGCGCTCTGCAGAGAAGGTCATTGGCTGCAAACTCCCCTCCATACAGTATCTGTACACCTCTAGGACATTGAGGCGTGCAGGTGGGATAATAGCTGGCCACAGTCTCTTCAGCTCGCTCCCATCTGGCAGAAGGCTCAGATCCATTCGGACCAGAACCTCTTGCCACAAAAACAGTTTCTTCCCCTCTGCAGTTGGACTTTTGAATGAAAATCCTAGGGCAGCCCACTCAAGTCGATTGGTCCCAGTCACGTGACCCGATGCTGTGCTTGAAAAACACCCAGATTAGTACCTACACGGGGTAGATAGCAGCTTCTCTAATTCTTGCCACTTTTTACATTAATAATTTTATCATGACTGTTTTATTACTTCCTATATTTGCTTATCTCTTAATTTTTTTTTATCTTTCTTACCTTCTGCACCAAATACCGCAGCAATTTCCTAATGTTGTGACTTGGCACACATATGGCAATAAAACCTTCTGATTCTGAAAAACCCATGCACACCACTAACTTCTAAAGGAGACTGGTGAAAAGACCGCACAACACAAGAAATCAAGGCATTTCTTCTCTTTCTTCCTGGTTACCATGGTGACGAGAACACCTGCAGGGCCTGATAATTGCACCACTCCCTAATGTGAAAAGGTCACATACCTTATATGCAATTCATTCATATGGGAGCAAGGCTAAATTAGAGCTGCAGCTTCTTAGTTTTTAAAGGCCAAGTTAACAGGGAAACCATTTTGCTGGTTATCGATCACTCTGAGCTTCACTTGCAAGCTAAACGTGGAAATAGTCTTCTGCCCCATCTTTCCCTTCTCCAGTCAAAGTTTACAGCTCAAAACTAAATGGTGACTACATTTAAAGTCATCTACAAATCAGTATTTACTATACTCTTTTAATTGTCATTCATAAATGTGTATTTTTTAAAGGGGGAAATGTAAAACTTTACCTACAATCATTGTCAGTGTCTGTATTTATTGCACTTAGTTTTTCCAAAGTAGAAATAAAACACAGAGTCGAAAAAGACTTAGATCATAATTTATAGGCAGCAACCCAAAGGAATCAACCTTATCAAGACCAGAGATTGGAGAGACCCGCCTGACATCAGCAACCCATTAGGAGTAATCAGGGCTACGTGTTTAGTACTTTAGCAGAAGCAGGACTCGGTTTTTGTATTTGCAGACCTTTGAGAGCTGAGAGAATATGTAATTTTGATGAACAGTGAAGGGTTTGTCCAGTGTTTAAAGAACGTTGGTGTGCCTAACAGCAGCTTCGTGACAAAGAACAGAAAGAGATCTTAAGCTTTACATCAAAACCCTTTAATATTCAATCATTTTTAGTTTTGTAATTAAACTTAAATTAGGAGGCAAAATAGTGAAGATTTTAATTCAATCAAAACATGACAGATTAAATCTGATAAAACATCTTTAGATGGGTAGATTCATTTATAGAGCAGAGCATAAACCTCCAAAATAAGAGAGTTGCAGTAGCAACAAGTTAAAGTGTAAGACTGATATCTACAACCAGCATCTCCTGCTGTGTCTGATGCCATATGTCATCTATGATGAGAGCCAAATTTAGACAGCACCTGCTCCACCTCCACCTGTAGGAGCTCGTGCTCAGAGAACCAGGAGAGTGACCTGGGAGCACTCGTCGGAGGAAACCTCTCAGATTTGTCGTGAATTTGATGTTTTTCTAGTTAATCTATTACCACCCGTCTTGATTTATTTTACAACTTTTAAAATTTCAGTCTTTGAATAAATGAATGAGTCCTTTCTGCATGGTAGCTGCCGTCAAGGTCAAGCGTTTGCTCATAAAAAGCTGTAATTCAGGATTAACCAGTAATTAGATTTAAAAACGGAACTAGCCACTAACGCTAGCTCTGACGCTCATGCTACCTGTCAATCAAATCGAATTATTCATAGTTTCAAGCAATTAATTACATCTAAATGGAAGGGCTACAAAAAATTCACCCCCTTAGAGTTGCCATGATTGTAAACTAGATCTAATAAACCTAAAACGTTTTTATGAACCAGGCTGCAAACATGCTTATTTCTGCTCTGAATTTGGCATTTTTAACATGGGAGTCAATGAGGATTTGCTTGCTTCTGGTGCCAGCCCCTAGTGGATGAGGGTGGAACAGCAGTTCTGGGTGTCTGGGGTTCCCAGTTGTTATTTATGCAGGTGTGCATTGTATTGTTTTAGTTTTAGATGGATGATATGACAAAGCAGCTTTTTTATGAGCCTGGACACTTTGGAACAATCTCGAACGGAAGTGTTGAGCATTCCTCTGATCCTGCTCTTTCTGTTTCCCCCCTCCAGCAATCGTGGTGGCCGTGTTCGGAGTCTGCTGGGCTCCTTTCCACATTGAGCGGCTCCTGTGGAGTTCAGTCAGCCATTGGACTGACATGATGCATAACGTATACCAGTATGTCCACATCCTGTCAGGCATCTTCTTCTACCTCAGCTCTGCAGTCAACCCCGTCATCTACAGCTTGCTGTCCACCAGGTTCAGGGAGTGTTTCCGGGAACTCGTGTGCTCTCACCCTGAGGACAAAAGCTCAGTCCGGGACTCGCCACCATTCCCAAAGATTTTACTGAATGCCTCCATCTCTAGTTCACAATGCCAAGCAGAAGTCAAGGAATCCATTTCTTTCATCCCTTTGCTTTCTCCTAAGATAGCATCCAGCATGGATACAGCAGTCTTTCCATGTGAAAGCAAAGAGACCACCTGCAAAACATCCATGTTCTGAGTTTTGTTGATTTTGACACAGCAGCACCTGAAGCAGAGTCAATTTGAAGTTACAAGTGGACTCTGGGGAATTATTTTGCTTTCTTGCAAAGAGACAGAGATATATTGCCTCGATGAATATCAATTTTCTCACAGGAAACGGTAAACACAGCTTCGTAAAGGTTTTTATTTTTTCAAATTGATGGGAACATGCTGGCTCTGTACAGAGCACTGATACGAGCAAAAAAAAAAGAAGAATAAAAAGTGCCGGTATTCCCCATAGATTCACGCTGATGAAGTGCAGTCTGACAGGCAAATGTTTTAAACCATTCACATTTCCACCATGGGAAAGGTCAGTGGTAAAGGACCATTTAGGTTTGTTTGTAAATGGTATCCACCATGCCTCATAAGGAGGACCAAGGATGGAAATGTGCATGAGCTGTAACAATGTGCAGTTACCTTTTTACCAAGTTTTCTTAATGAAATCATGCAAAAAATCTATCTGTGCATATCTGAGTTGTGCCACACAAGTTGCACAAGTCTGGATCATCTGCTGATTTTTAAGCAGCAGTACAACAGATCAATGCATTCATCACTAATGTATTGGAGATTGGTGCAAAAAGGCAACATCAACCAAAAGTACTAGCTTTTTGGTAAACTCCGGTAAATATCAATCATAACCATACACAGTATATGTTTACATGGCTGCAAGTAATCAGAATTAATGCCCTATCATATCAGAAATTCTTCATGTAAACACGCCAATCGGAATATTGACATGTTTACTGTGTCATGGCCCTGAGACGACTCTTGTCGTGATTTGGCGCAATATAAATAAACTTGAAATTGAACATTCTGATTCGATACTGCCCGGTCGGAATGAAATTCCATTCTGAATGAGAAAGGTGCATTTGTCCAATCACCATTCCAATTGACGTACAAGCACACACTCATTCGAACTGTTGGAGTAAAGTAATGCCCACTGTGCATGTGCACTACTTCAACGTGATGTCTTTCCGCCTTTGCAGACGCTCAGGACAAGTCTGAGGAGCTGGAGGAAGGTGTGAGCGGGTGATCGTTAGTACGCCATCCTGCCCTCCTCTTCTGTGGCGGAGGAGCAGCAGCGTTACCTACTGCTGAGCCTGTAGCTTAGTTAAAGCCTTCGGTTAAAAACAAAAGCATACAGGCAAAAATGCAAAAAGGTTCATGATGGGAGAAAAAAATGTAATTCCACGAACAAAGCTAGAGAATAAGAAAATAAAATGTGAGGAGAAAGGCGTGTAGACGTTTGTTTTTCTGGGAAAGACTTCTCTGCGCATGCTCAACCTGTTTATTCTGACTGAATGCTCAGTCGCTGTGTACTCATGGCATGATTGGATCATTTACTATCCATGTAAACAGAGATTTGGGATTTAGGGGACATTTGGTGCATGTAAACGTAGTTACTGACGTGTGGTCAGAGGGGACACTTCCTCCCCTGTAATCATCATCTTTATTTCTATAGCACCCTCCATCGTCCAAGAGGCGAACCAAAGTGTTGCACACATATAAAACATTTTAAACAACACATGACCAACGATAAAATATACATAAAACAAACAAAAGCAAAGAATATCAGTAAAAAGCAGGATAAAATAATGAAAATACAACTGGATAAGTAGTCTAAAATTGTCTAAAGATATAGCTAACTCGTGTGCTGAGGGAACGCCCTCTATAAAAGTGAGTCTTGATCCGACTCTTAAAATCCAGCAGTGAGAGTTAGGGTTAGGGTTACCATCAGTAGAAGGTCATTCCACAGCTTGGGGACCAAAACTGAGAAAGCCCTGCCTCCTCTAGTCGAGCGTTTTGCTCGTGGAACGACTAGTAAGTCTTGCTGTGATGACCTAAGTGCATGTGATGGGTTGCAGCGGGTGAGTGGTTCAGACAGATAGCTAGCAGCACTGCCCTGCAGAGACTTAAGAACAAGTATCTTGAACCTGACTCAGAAAGGTACTGGAATCAGTGCAGATTGGCCAAAACGGGCGTGATGTGTTCCTGTTTTCTGGTGCCGGTCAGGAATCCAGCAGCAGCATTTTTGAGCAAGTTCAGCCGTGATTGTGACAAGTAAAACGCTAATAATGGTTTAATAATAAAAATCAATGTGTTCACTGATTGGCCTATATCCTTGATACGTTATGTCATGTGCCCAAGCATATCCTTGCTGCTGGCTGCAAGGCAAGAAGATGGCGCATCCCCGTTGTCCTCCGTTGTTATCAGCTGTCTATTGACATTATAGATTGAAAAGTGGCAAAATAAAAACTATCAGCATGGTGAACACATGAAGCCCTGTAGCCTGCACAAGTAGACAGAAGAAGGACAATAATCTCACATTTCATTGGTGTCCGGCTGATAAAATACACTGAAGGAAATAGCTAACAGTTCTAGTGGATGAATCATCCACATCATGGCAGCTAAAGTCTCAATAAAAAAGTCAAGTATGTGCACCACATGTCCAGACACAAACAAGTTATCGGGTTAGACTCCTTTCATATATAATGACACGAAATGTGTTGTGTGTTTGGAGCGAGCAGCCTTTAATGTGATTGGTTTTGTGTTTACTGAGCTTGTCAGGTATGTATAAAAGTTATGTATTTATTAACCGTTTGGCCCACCTGAGATCTGCCCAGCCTCTAATGTTTTGTGTTTCTGTTTCTGTTGGTTGTGAGAATAAACAGAATCTCCAAAGTCAAACCGTGCCAAGGCAATCTTTCAGCATCAACTTGCAGTAGAGATCCGGTTACGCCTGTTTCAGACTGGAAGCATCAGCGGCGTGAAACGGCAGCGGAACGGTTTACTCGTGAACTTCCTTTTCACACCGAGGGAATTGGCTGCAGTACAACTTCCTCGCTGTGCTCTTTGCTGGACCCACAAGAATACACGATCCCTTGAGACTTCAGGTCACGGTTTGTTTATGCAGTCTGCCATTAAACCAAAGAGAAGGAAATCACGTTTAATATTGCTGTTTGATGTCATATATGATGCTCTTCTCCACAGCCGGGAATAAAGCTATGAAAAACACACCGCTGTACTTCTGGAATGATGCTGAGAGTAAATGAGCCATTGGGTCACATGTAAGCTTCATATATCTGAATCAGCATCGCTGCAGTACTTTTATTTAGAAATTTAGAGGTGATTTTACACTGAAACCGTGTGTGATTTCCTGTCTAATCCAATGTTAACTGCAGATATTGATGCATCCCAGAAGCGGCTCACGGCAAAAATAGAAACTGATGCCATCTTTAGAGGTGCGGCGTGCCGCTTGGGATGCACCTGGAAATTCCCATGCCACTGCTGGTTTGAAACACTCCATAGACTGTAATGGATTCTATTTGAAGCGGTGACGTTCTGCTGCCGTTCCGCGCCGCCGATGCTTTCAGTGTGAAACCGGGGTTACACCTTCATTGCTTCAGCTGTGTAAAGTCCAGGCCTGTCAATCATCCCTGTACTGAACAAGGACTGCCATCCCAAAGCTCATTAGCTATTTCAAACAGATATGGAAGTATGCTAAGCACGGCTAGTTTTTAGAAGCTTTTATTGTGGGATCATATAATTTAAAGTCTGACTCCAGAGCAGTCAGTGCCTCCCCAGTCATGAACCTCACCACACATCACTGGTGAGGAAGATAAACTCAATTGTGTCCTAATTACACAGCAAAGAGCCATTTAGCAAGTGTGATGTCACTGACAGGCGCACAACCCCAAGCTGACCAGAAGGAAACAGCATCCCCCAAAGATGCTAGACCTGCGCCCTACTTACTATAGACCCGATTTTTATGGTTAAGTGGTACGAAGCCGCCAATATTTTTCAACAACTGGATGTCATTTCATTCATTTTCAACAATGTCTTGATGGATATTTCAGAGATTAAAGGTAAAAACTACTGATTATATCTTTAAAAATCGGATCAATGCCTCCCTTGTTTTTGTGAAGCGCCTCGTGATTTTTATCTTGAGAGGAGCTATAGAAAAGATTTCTTCTTCTTCTTCTCCTTCTTCTTCCTTCTCCTTCTTCTCCTTCTCCTTCTTCTTCTTCCCTGCTTAACACTCAGCTCTAAGGTTGTATTGGGGGTTAAATAGTTCCCGAGTGCAGCCACAGCTGCAGCTCACCACTCCCCACTGCGATGGGTCAAAAGCAGAGATGTAATTTCACCAGTGTGTGATGATGACTAGTGGAACTATATTTGGAGTTGGGTCACAGGGGCAGCAGCCTAAACAGAAAAGCCCAGACTTCCCTCTCCCCAGCCACTTGGGCCAGCTCCTCTGGGGTAATCCCAAGGCATTCCCAGGGAAGGGTCCAGGAGGCATTCCAACCAGATGCCCGAGCCACCTCAACTGGCTCCTCTTGATGTGTTCCACAAAAATAATCAATCAATGATGAAAGAGAATCTGCTTCTAGAACTGCAGAAAGAAGAAAAACAACACACAATACAACAAGAGCAAGCTATCAGTGTGTCAACCTGATGAGGAAACATAAAATTAACATTTGGTTTTTGTTAAACATTTGTGACTTATATTAGTTAACTGTTTCAGTCACATTCACTCCAAAACACATTTTGAGTTTCAAATATTTTTGGAAAGAGATTCTTAGCATTCTACAGACACACAGTATTGTCTGTAAAATAAAATCACTGAACTGTGATCTTGAGAAAAAGGTTTAAAAAAAAAGTGTCACAGTTCACTGCTAGTTGCCTACATTTGTGGTCCAAACACCTTATTTTGTGTTTTTAAGCAATTTTTTTCTTATTCAGTGAGAGATATCCAGTCTCTGCTGGGCTTTAACGAGTGCATCAAAGTCAGGTTGAATGTCTGAGGTGGAGATGCGAAGCACAGCTGACAAATGATCATCAGTGAGAGAGGATCTATACCTGGATTTTGAAAACTTCATCATTGAAAATGTTTGTTCACAAATGTAGGTAGAGCCGAAGAGAACCAACATCTTCTGAGCATGTCTCCTCAGGTTTGGAAAGTTCTCCTCCTTAAGAGAAGAGTAGAAATCCAGCGGAGATCCTGACTTAAAGTGCTCTGCCAGTACTGCATCAGACTGCAGGTCAATGAGTTCCAGCTGCACATCACTGGGTGCATTATCCACACTGCAGGTAAAGGGAGAGGAAATCATGTGCATTTCATCCTCGATTGTTCTGAGATCTTCAAAACGCTTTGAAAACTCGCCATGTAATGCTCCTAACATGGATGAGTACCTGCTGAGGTGATCAGCTGATGGTGTGACTTCGTTCAGGGTTTGCATGTGAGTGAGAGTGTTGCTCTCCAGTTGACTTGAAGGAAACTGCAGCTTTCTCATGAAGGCCTTCACGAGGCTGTGCATTTCATGAACAAAAAGACCATTGCCTTGCAGTCTGGTGTTCAGTTCATTCATCAGTGCAGTCACATCAACAGCAAATGCAAAATCTGCCATCCAATCCTCATCTGAGAGCTCTGGAATGTCTTTGTCTTTCCTCTAGCAAAACTCTCAAATCTCTGCTTTCAAGTCCCAAACCCTCTTCAGCACTTTCCCCAGGCTGAGCCATCTGACAGCTGTGTGGAGTCCTCCAAAAGAGCGACAAACTATCTGTGATTCATCGCCCGCGCCCTGATGAAGTTTATTATTTTAGTAACAACATCAGTAACATGGTTGATTTTTAGCACTGACTTGCACAACACATGTTGGTGTATAATACAATGCAAAAACACCTATTTTTGATCTGCATCGATTTCTGTCATTTTATCTTGCATGCGTTTGAAAAGTCCGACATTTTTCCCTGTAAGATTTGGACAACCGTCTGTTGTGACACCTGACAGTCTCTCCCATTTCAATCCCAGAGTGTCCATGCACGCATTTACCTCTGTAAAAAGATCACTCCCTGTCGTTGTCCCTTTCATCGACCGCATTGCTGCCAGCTCCTCTGTGAGCTTGAAGTCCGTTATCCCCGGACAAATACGAGCAGCTGGGCTGTGTCGCGGACATCACAGCTCTCATCTAAGGCCAATGAGAAAAAGTCAAAACTTGCCACTTCACGTTGCAGCTGAAGCTCCAGGTTCCCCGCAATGCCCTCGATCCTCCTGGCCACGGTTCGCCTGGACAGCGGGATTTGCTCAAATGCGCCTTTTTTTCAGGACATATTAGTGCGGCAGAGTCCACCATGCACTCTTTGACAAACTCTCCCTCCGAAAACGGCTTGCTGTTTTTAGCTATTTTGTGGGATATCACAAAGCTGGTCCTGGTTGCTGCATCCCTGGATGTGTGAAGCTTAGTAAAACAGCCTTGCTGCTTTTGCAACTTTGCTAGCAAAGCTTCGGATGTCCGTGCCCTCTCAGCATCAGACAAGTTCTTGTATTTTTCCGAGTGTTTCTTGTCGTAATGCCGACTCAAATTGTAGTCCTTAAACACGGCAATCTCCTCCCCGCAAACCAAACACACGGCTTCACCTCCGACTTTAGTGAAAAAAATACTTAGCAGTCCAATTTTTGTTGAAAATCCTGCATTCGGCATCTATCTTTCTTTTTCTTTTGCATGAGCGGACATTTCTGGGGCTGCAATCACCATGTCAACCGCGGGCACTTGTTGCTATACGTATTGTGTCATTGTGCATGTAAAAAACAACTTCAAAATAAAAGCAATGCAGCCTTAGTCCATGCATGAGGTAAAATGAGAAAATACATATATTTTGTAATTTCCAATTAACCTTACGCGGGCCGGTCAAAGTCAACCAAAGGGCCGTATGTGGCCCGCGGGCCGTAAAATGCCCAGGTTTGCTCTAGAAGTTCCAAAGACCAGATGTAAAAGTCGAGGTGAACTCTCCTTCTAGACTGTTGCACCCCAACTTTGGAATGATTTTCCTTTATTCTTATGTAGTATCGACAGTCTGGACCCTTGTATTTAAAGCTGCTTTTACCTAAACCTTTTATTTTCTTATTTTGAACTCAAATAAAAAAAATTTCATCTGTTTATGAAATATTCTTAATTGTATGACTTTTTTTTAATGTTAATCTATTTCTGTTTAGAGATCATTATGATTTTGTGACTGTATTTTATTTAGATTTTGTCTATGTGAAGCACTTTGTGATTCTGTGTCTGTGATAAATGCTGTATATATAAAATTGACTTACTAATGAAACGCACCAACAAAGCTGATGGATGCTTATTCCTGACAAGAATAGAGAGAACCATACCAGTGATAAAAGGGTTATTTCACCCTGTCCCCTTCAAACTGACATTCTGATTAGGAGCAAGGTTTTTTATATTTTGGTTTCCAGGTATTTAATCCCTCTTTACCCCACCGTCTGCTTTCAAGCATGTCAGAAATCTACAATGGTTGTAAGAATAAAGTCTGAGGCACAGCAGGAACATGCTTTTGCAAAACAACAGCCCAAAAAAAAATCTATTTTTCTCTTGAGATTCTGCCCAAAGGAGGAAAATAATAACAAAAAAATAATAATATAACATTCCTCTTGATATCTCTGACCTAGTCTTAATGCTAATTAATATAACAACACAGTTTATTGCGGTTCATCATAAAAAACCCACCTGTTATCCAGCGGGGCAGACATGGCACTTATTTTCTAAAATGCTTACCAATAAAAAAGCCCAAAAGTGTAAAACAAAAATTTAATATGCATTATTTTACAATAAATACAAAAAATGTTCATTAAAATTTTATTGTACAGTAGTTTAAAAAGTGAGGTATACAGTCTCTATACTGAGGCTGCAGCGGCTGCTTCCTGGTTCCAGTGTGACTCATAAGCATCGATATTCTCATGTAACTCAGACAAAAAAGTGAATAAGATCTTAAATTTTAATCTGTGCCGACTTTGTATATGTATATGTCGATGGTTAGGCCTGATGCTACCAGCATCAACATCAGGACAATGCTCCTGTGGTTTTATTTTGTAATTTCTTTTTGCTTTGGAAGGGAATCCAGTAGGCGAGTGGAAAAATCAAGTGTTATCCAACGGACTACACGCTGAACTTGATTATTTCTGTACTCATTTGGAAATATAAAAAACAAAAACAATGTGTTGCTGAGCAGCCAAAAGAAGCCTTTGTATTTGAGTGGAAGATAGAGGATGTCATGCTATTAATCTTGTTATGTCTCTTGTTGCATGGCCAGCAATCATCTACGTGATTTGAATGACTGCTAAGCCATTTGTCTGTGATCGTCATGATGAAAACTGATTATGGCTATTGTGCAATCATCACCTTGAAAGTCCACACTATTGTATGCTCTTCAGTTAATACCGTGACCTTTTGATTAAAGCTTTTTTAGCCTAAAATCGGCAAACATGAAGACATCATTCAGTCTCATGATTGCAGCGTGCAAGGCTTCGTTTTTCCGCACTGCTGCACAGACCTTGCTCAAAATAACCTACTGGAACAATAGCGGGGAATCAGTGCAGTAATTAGCATGTTGGTATAGTTTTGTTCTATTGTGGTTCACCACTTTTCATTACTAATGAGCTTTGATCTTCCAGCTGTGATGACACTCAGATACCTCACAAGAGGATTGACAAATTCAATATATTTTGTTCTATCATCATCAAAGGTTTCTAATTCAAAACAACAAACGTCAGATTTACCACATATTAGCTTTGTCAGTCAGGACTGCGTTGTTTACGTTGAAGCGAGAGGCTAAGCTGAGATCAGTTTAGATTGTTGTTGCTTGTTTCGTTGCCTGCAACAGATCTGTTCAGTGAGTGTTGGAATAAATTAGCAAGTTTATGTACATTTTCATGCAAGAGAGCTGTTCTCTTTTTCTTGTGGGACAAAGACGAGTCGACAAAATGAATCTCAACACAGAGAAAAAGAGAGTTAACTGAAGGCAGAAAGAATAATGGTACTGTGTTGCCAAAATGTGAAAGTTGGGTTCAGAGTCTGTTACCGGGCATCGTAACAAGAAACAAATGTGTTTCTTGTTTGCGCAAAATAAATGTTGCTTTTCTTGAAAAGCTTCTAATCCAAATATATCCAACTGCTCAAAATTGTTCCCTTGACTGTTTACGGTCTTTCTCACAGCCCAAGGCTGCACCATCAGTCTTTTGGCCACGGCACAGCAGCAGTTCAGGCGGAGAAGGATGGCCTGCGGGGTATTCTCACGACATTGTAGGTGTTGAGTCCTGGGGCGTCAAAGCCAGGGGACAACCCCTGCTTGTTAAACAGATAAAAGTTAAAAAGTTGGCCATCTTGGGCTTCCAGTGACACAGAGGCAGTGCCCACTCGTAAAACACAAGGGTACTCGTTTTCAAACACAACTCTGAACACCCTTTCCACCAGGTAGTTGAGCTTTATTGTCCTGTATTTCTCTGGGATCAGCTCTTCAATCTGAGGACCAAACTGTTGCATTATGAGAACTCCATCTGGTCCTACTTTAATCTCATAGAAGGTGATGTTGCTGTAAGTGTAAAAACCAATGTAAGGATCTGGGCTTGGAGGAGCAATGAGGACCTTCTTGGCTTCTCTGAAGGCCTTTTCTATAGCTGGGATGATGAAGCTGTAGGCCTTGGTGACCACATCCTCTTTCTGAGACCTGCTGCCTGCCATGAGGATCACCAAGCCAAGCTTGAGTCTGGGAACCAGGGAGAAGGTAGCAGAGAAGCCATCCAGATCACCATCTTTTCGAACCATCTCGTAGCCCATGAGGTCATTCACCTCCCAAGGCGTCCCGGTGCGGTTTGCAAAGTAGTCCTTATCACACCTAAAGAGTGGAGTCAGCATGATCTTCAGGGAATCTGGCTCCAGCAGTTTACGGTGATAGGCACCCAGCAGCATCATGGCAAGCTTGGCCATGTCTGCAGCTGTGGAAAACATCTGACCAGAAGGTCGGTACCAACCGAGGTCATAAAGCGGAGCAGGTTTCCCATTCGAGTACACTCCAACGGCCACTTGACTTTGCAACCCAGGAGTTAGATCAAAGCCAGTGTCTTCCATTCCTAGGCGGTCCAGGATGTTTTCTGTTACCCACCGCTGGTAGTCCACCCCGACAATTCGCTCTGCCATGATGTGAGCGAGCAGAGAAAAGGCAAGGTTGCTGTAGTGACACCTGGGAGGAAGCACATCAAAAAAGGGGGATGGTTTAGAAAACAATGACAAAAAAGAGGTAAAGAAAACTGAATCACATCAATTATCTGAACAACAGGAGATGGTGTGGTGTGGAAGACGAATGCAAGTTGTACTTGACAGTTAGTCACAACCCTTGATAAAAATGACGTTGTATCCAGTGGTGGCTGGCCACTAGAGGGCGATAGCCCCCCCCCCCCCCCCACACACACACACAGTTTTTCCCCAGTGTTTTTAATTTTTATTTATTTAAATAAATAAATCAAATCAACAATAATCACATCTTGTAAGTTAATTTGTGTGTTTTGTAACAAAAACATCTCATAATCACATAATCACACACACACACACACACACACACACACACACACACACACACACACACGCACACGCACACGCACACGCACACGCACACACACACATGTATAAATCTAAATGAATCACATTTTGATCGTTCAGGAAAATGTGCTCTCAAAGCAAAACTATGAGACAGAGAATCAAACATTAGACATGGTTATTACTGTAAACTAAAGCTTTTATTAAAAAAATGTATTTTAATTATTCAAATGTCACTGTGTGATATGAAACAAGACCCAAATAAACTAAAATTTATGATTACAAATAGAAAACACCTGCAAAGGGTTCCTGAGCCTTTAAATAGTCTCTCTGTCTATTGAATTGCTGAAATAAATTTGACTTTGCACCAGATTCTAATTTTTCCAGTTTCACTTGTTTGTATAATTGGGAGTTTTTATTAGCATTTCTACTCATAATGTAGTAAAAACACATAAATAATAATCCTTCAAAATGACACTAGAACAGGCACAAATATGATCTAGGACTTAAATGTACTAAATTTTATCACCAGAGCAGGCGTAACATATTCTGAGAATGATCAGTAACACTAACTGATTCCAGTTGGATGACTGGAGGATGATGGGAAGATAAAAGATCATGGCGAGGAAATAATGATCTGACAAATAGGTGAGCGGACCTTCCTTACATGAGAAGTCCTGCTGTCACGTTAAGAAGGGGATGCTGCAGACCCGCAGATTCGCACCTGCAGCAGCGAATCTGGTGTGATCTCCAGCCTGATCACAACTTTCTCATTCCTCGCTGCCCCTGATACACTTAAGCATCCGTCCCTTAATGCATGTGATGTTTAGACAGTGACTCATCTCAGAAACATATAACTCCCCGACAGAATTGTTTAGAAAATCATCAGAAAAGTTTTAGAGTGTTTCTGTTTTAATTTAACCTTCTGTTTTCAACTTTAAGACACGTTGTTTGTGATTGTTTACAGAGTAGTGAGAACACGAATATATATATATATATATATATATATATATATATATATATATATATATATATATATATATATATCCATCCATCCATTTTCATCCGCTTATCCGGAGTCAGGTCACGGGGGCAGTAGCCTAAGTCGAGAGGCCCAGAAGTCGAGAGGCCCAGACTTCCCTCTCCCCAGCCACTTGGGCTAGCTGCTCCAGGGGAATCCCAAGGCGTTCCCTGGCCAGGTGAGAGACATAGTCCCTCCAACGTGTCCTGGGTCTACCTTTAGGCCTCTTCCCGGTTGGACGTGCCCGGAAAACCTCACCAGGGAGGCATCCAGGAGGCATTCTGACCAGATGCCCGAGCCACCTCAACTGGCTCCTCTTCATGTGGAGGAGCAGTGGGTCTACTCCGAGCCCCTCCCGGATGACCAATCTTATCACCCTTTCTCTAAGGGAGAGCCCAGCCACTCTTCAGAGAAAACTAATTTCGGCAACTTGTATCCGCGATCTCGTTCTTTCGGTCACCACCCAAAGCTCATGACCATAGGTGAGGGTAGGAACGTAGATCGACCAGTTAATTGAGAGCTTTGCCTTCCGACTCATCTCTCTCTTCACCACGACAGACCGGTACAACGCCTGCATCACTGCAGATGCAGCACCAATCCACCTATCGATCTCACGCTCCAGTTTTCCCTCACTCGTGAACAAGACCCCGAGATACTTAAACTCCTCCACTTGGGGCAGGACCTCATCCCAGACCCGGAGATGCATTCTACCCTTTTTGCGGCAGTGCAGCAGCCAGCCAATTGCTGACAAGAAATTCAAACGTATAGCAACGGGAATGCATCCAATCAGTGTCGTCGATTCGGAAGCCCGAAGGGTGATAGAGCTACCACCCAAGGCTGGTTGTTGGTGTTCCGGTCGAGCTCGACTCGAGCAAGGTATTTGGTGGTGACACAGACACAGTTATGGACGTGAGTGCACCTACAACAAGCATGAATACCGGATCTCAGCAGCCGCTGAATTCAGTTTGGTCTCTTCTCCAGTATCCGTTCGAGAAGAGAACAATGGTTGGAAAACTTAATATCAAAGACGGAGTTTACACGCTGGACCACGCATGGGACTGCATCATCGGAGAGGGGAGAGCGGGCAGTAGAGGGCGACAACGTCCTCTGCTGCCCGCAGATAAACGGAGAAGGAAGTGACGCACCACCATCAGCATCAGCCTGAAGAAGCCGGCAGCCGCCGGCGAAACTGTAGCTACAAAACAGGTAAACAAAACTGTTTCTGCGTTTAAAAAGAACGAAAGCATGGAATTAGAACCACGACACAGCAAGAACACACCTAAGATGTTAATGTCAAAGAGCTTGGACCAGATCAGCCTGACGTAAAGGTAAGCCAGCAGGACAAGGAGAAAGGTAAACTGTACATGCGAGGCTTCTCCCGAAATTGGTACACCAGGAAGGCTTGGCTAGCTGGATGCAATCATGCTAATGCTTCATTTTGCTTTCCTTGTTTGCTATTCAAAACGACTGGGACAGATAAGGCATGGATTGTGTCAGGAGTTACAGACATGAAACATTTTTCTGAAAAGGTGAAGAAAAACGAGTCATCCCAGGCACACATGGACAACACGGTGAAGCTAGCCATGCTAGGCAGAGCTAACATTGCCATGCATCTCGACGAGGGGCACAGGCTTGCAGTGCAGAAACACAATGAAGTGGATTGGAACCGGCACATTTTGTCCAAGATAATTGACTGTGTTAAATTTTGTGGAGCATTTGAGCTGGCTTTGTGTGGCCACCATGAGACTGAATTCTCAGACAACCCGGGCGTCTTCAGGGGCCTAGTGGATCTAGTTGCTTCACTCGATAATGTGTTGGGAGGATCATCTGAAGACGGCAACAGTTTTTAAAGGCACCTCAAAGACGTGCAGAACGAGTTGTAGGACTGTATGTTGTCAGTGATTAAAACCCACATGGAGAGGTGAGCATTCCAGATAGTCTTACTATTCAGGCAGATGAGACTACAGACATTTCCACCCGCTGCCAGTTGGTGCTTGTGTTACAGTATCTCGACAGTCAGAAAAGCATTCAAGAGCGTTTTCTCGAGTTCATTCCTCTTCAGAATGCAATCTCTGACACTATTTCCACAGCACTGTTGGAGAGGCTGAGCAAGATCATCCCTGCTGGAAAAGAGGGAAAACTAATCGCTCAGGCCTATGATGGGATTGCAGTGATGAGAGGAGCCACAGGTGGAGTGCAATGTGAGGTGAATGATGTGTACACAAGTGCACACTACATCCACTGCTATGCCCATCAGCTGAACCTCATCATGCAACAGGCAACTTCACACATTAACAGGATCAGAAGTTTCTTTTCAGTCCTTGGTGGATTTGCTGCATTCTTCTCCCGGTCATTCAAGAAGATCAGGTACATAACTGTTTATTTAATATTATTGTGATGAAATTCTCCAGTATGTTAGTTTCTGAAACAGTAATGTAGATAGTAACTTGTGTCTCATTAGGGACTCCATTCGTTCTCTGACTGAGGATTGCAGCGCATATGTGCAGCAGCAGCCAACAAAGAAACGGAGGACGTTTGGACAGGGAGAACAGCAGCAGCTGGGTGCAGAGGTAAGCTGTACATTACATTTCTGTGAACAAGACAATTAGAATCAGAAATCCTTGGTTGTCCCACAAACGGGGACATTTGTTTAATAACTGTGCAATAACTGTACAAACTCATTTCAACACACATACTTATTATACATATTTAATCATGTAAATGTGTATTACATGTAAATATGTACATACATCAATCTGATTCCATTTTACTTGCTACACTTCTGCAGCAACAAACACATTTCCCAGTTTTTGGGACAATAAAACATTTCTGATTCTCAATTAGACATTTTTACATTTGAAGTAAAAACATCTTATTGAGAATCAAAAATGTTTTATTGTCCCAAAAACTGTAAAGATGAAATTTGTAAGAGGATACTGATGGCATTATTTCCTATGAAAGTGTTTACTATATGTTCTTATCTGTAGTTTTTTTATTGATCATTTGACAGGTATGTGACACCATCCTGAGCCATGCAAAAGAGCGATTCTCTTTCACCAAGCACCTCGTTAGTGCCACTCTGCTACAAAGTGACTTGTTTGTGCAACACACAGCGCAGTTCCCAGATGCAGCACTGGCAACCATGTAGAGGCCTACCCCATGTTGAACAAAGCTAAGCTCAGAACAGCTATCGCTCATCTATGAGAACCATGAGTTCAGGGCTTGCAGTGGTGCACTGACTCTCTTCCAGTTTTTCAAGGAGAGCAATCTTCAAGGGACTCGGTGCTGCACACAAGACAGCTGGTGTGATCAGCTCTGAAAAGTGTTGATCACAATTTGCAGATCATGTTTATTTTTCACGGAGATCGGCCACGGACTCATCTTCCGTCGGCATTCTAGGAATCGAAATTAGGAATCGAAAAAAGTAACTTTGAACGATTCCGGGAACAAATAACAGTTGGAACCAGTTCCGATCCGTGCTCGATGCTCAATGCCCAACCCTACCCACCAAGAATAGTTTTCACCAGCCGCCACGGACTGTATCCCATGGGAGGTTTCATCAGTTTATGATCAATATTTAAAAGGATGGATGGAGGGATAAAAAATTTTGTTTCTGCCTACAAAGAAAAAATCTTACTTGGTCCCTGGATCTGCAACAAGAACGTCATCTTGTAGGAGATTGATTGCAGATTGTGTTTTGCCTTTCCAGAGCAGATTTGTGGCCCGGAGTCTTCTGGGCAGACCTGGGTCAGCCAACAGTGAGACAGTATTGGGAAAAAAATCTAATTATTGTGACAATGGCAAAGAAAAACAAAAAACGTATTTATATGCATTAGACATGTCTTTCCTGCTCTTTTTTGTTTTTTTTTAGAAGTGTCTCTTCCACTTTCATTTTTGGTGCAGTGTTTATTTCACCCGTCTCTGAACATGATTACTGTGTTCAGCCTTGATATCTGTGTGGTGAACTGAAGCACGGAAGGATCCTTAAAAGTATCTAACCTCAGACATTTTTCCTGCTGCAGGTCTTATTTTTCTCCAATCTTTTATATTTTCAAATATGTTTTCATTTCAACAACTGAACGAAGTGAAGCATTAAACGAGCAAATTATTAAACAATTTAAATATGTGTCCCATTAAAGCTGAAAACTGCTGTTTAAATGGAACTTTCTACTGATGAAGATATTTTTCTACGATTCGGCCTGTCATCCACACAAAAATTCAGATTTACGCAACAAAAATTAATCTTTGTAAAAACTGTGCAAAAGTGAAGTTTTGCATTTTCTCTGTTTTAAGCATTTGTGTGGACAGAAATAACCGGCGTTTTAGGTTTCACAACGTCTGCAACAAAAATGCTCACGGCCCATGTGCGACCTGTGTTTACACATGAACATGGATGCCCTCAGAGCTTTTTGACTTTATACTTCAAAATTACATTTAACAGCGATTCTACCTCCTTATTGGTCCACACAAACGAGCTAGGCGCCATGTTTACCGTTTTGTTGAAGTTGAGCAAGAAGAAGGAATGTATAGAATTCGGGGGAACTTCTGCCGCCTACAGGTCTGGCATGCCTGTGAATGTGCTTAAGAATAGACATCTGTGATTACGTGTGGATGGAGTTTTTTCTAAAAACGAGGTGGTATGGACGCTATTTTTTGGAAGGGTTGATATTCTTTAAAAAATGGCTATGTGTGGACAAGGCCTTAGATTTAGTTCATCATCGTCTTCCTCCGCTTATCCGGGTCCGGGTCGTGGGGGCAGCATCCCAACTAGGGAGCTCCAGACCGTCCTCTCCCCAGCCACCTCCACCAGCTCCTCCGGCAGGACCCCAAGGCGTTCCCGGACCAGATTGGAGATGTAACCTCTCCAACGTGTCCTGGGTTGACCCGGGGGCCTCCTGCTGGCAGGACATGCCCGAAACACCTCCCCAGGGAGGCGTCCAGGAGGCATCTTGACCAGATGCCCAAACCACCTCAACTGACTCCTTTCAATCCGGAGGAGCAGCGGTTCTACTCCGAGTCCCTCCCGAATGTCCGAGCTCCTCACCCTATCTCTAAGGCTGAGCCCGGCCACCCTACGAAGGAAACTCATTTCGGCTGCTTGTATCCGCGATCTCGTTCTATCGGTCATTAACCAAAGCTCATGACCATAGGTGAGGATTGGGACGTAGATCGACCGGTAAAACAAGAGCCCGGGTTTCTGGCTCAGCTCCCTCTTCACCACGACAGATCGGCTTAGCGTCCGCATCACTGCAGACGCCGAACCAATCCGCCTGTCGATCTCCCGATCCCTCCTACCCTCACTCGTGAACAAGACCCAGAGATACTTAAACTTTTCCACTTGAGGTAGGGCGTCTCCCCCGACCCGGAGTTGGCAAGCCACCCTTTTCTGGAGAACCATGGTCTCCGATTTGGAGGTGCTGATCCTCATCCCAGCCGCTTCACACTCGGCCGTGAACCTACCCAGCAAGAGCTGAAGGTCAGAGTTGGATGAAGCTAGGAGGACCACATCATCTGCAAAAAGCAGAGACAAGATTCTCCTGCCACCAAACTCGACACACTCCACACTATGGCTGCGCCTAGAAATTCTGTCCATAAAGGTAATGAACAGAACCGGTGACAAAGGGCAGCCCTGGCGGAGTCCAACTCTCACCGGGAACAGGTCCGACTTACTATCGGCTATGCGGACCAAACTCACGCTCCTCTGGTAAAGGGACTGAATGGTCCTTAACAGAAAGCCACCCATCCCATACTCCTGGAGCGTCCTGGGACACGGTCATAAGCATTCTCCAAATCCACAAAACACATGTGGATTGGTTGGGCAAACTCCCATGCCCCTTCCATCACCCTTGCAAGGGTATAGAGCTGGTCCACAGTTCCACGGCCAGGACGAAAACCACAATGCTCCTCCTCAATCTGAGATTCAACTATCGATCGGACCCTCCTTTCCAGTACCTTGGAGTAGACCTTTCCAGGGAGGCTGAGGAGTGTGATCCCCTTATAGTTGGAACACACCCTCAGGTCACCCTTCTTAAAGATGGGGACCACCACCCTGGTCTGCCACTCCACAGGAACTGCCCCAGATGACCATGCAATGTTGCAGAGACGTGTCAACCACGACAGCCCTACAACATCCATAGCCTTGAGATACCCAGGATGAATCTCATCCGCCCCTGGGGCTCAGCCGCTGTGTAGTTGTTTGACTACCTCAGCAACTTCTGCCCCCGAGATTGGACAGTCCATCCCCAGGTCTCCCGGCTCTGGTTCCTCCTCGGAATGTGCATAGGTGAGATAGAGGAGCTCCTCAAAGCATTCCTTCCACCGTCCGACTATAGCCCCAGTTGACCTCAGCAGCTCCCCATCCCCACTGTAAACAGTGTGAGCGAGTTGCTGCCTTCCTCTCCTGAGGTGCCGGACAGTTTGCCAGAACCTCTTTGGAGCCGATCGATAGTCTTTCTCTATGGCCTCACCAAACTCCTCCCACGCCCGAGATTTTGCCTCGGCAACTGCCACTGCTGCACCCCGCTTGGCTATCCGGTACCTGTCTGCTGCCTCCGGAGACCCACAGACCAGCCACGCCCTGTAAGCCTCCTTCTTCACCTCTGGTGTCCACCAACGGGTACGGGGGTTGCCACCACGACTGGCACCGGCCACCTTGTGACCACAGCTAGCAACAGCCGCATCAACAATCGCAGAGTGGAACAAGGCCCACTCAGAGTCAATGTCTCCCACTGCTCTCGGGACGTGGTCAAAGCTCTGCCGGAGGTGGTAGTTGAAGACCGTCTTGACAGGTTCTTCTGCCAGGCGTTCCCAGCAGACCCTCACTATGCGTTTGGGTCTGCCAGGTCTACGCGGCATCTTCCCCTGCCATCTGATCCAACTCACCACCAGGTGGTGATCAGTTGACAGCTCCGCTCCTCTCTTCACTCGGGTGTCCAAAACATATGGCCGCAGGTCAGATGATACGACTACAAAGTCTGTCATCGACGTGTGACCTAGGCTACCCTGGTACCAAGTGTACTGATGGGCATCCTTATGTTTAAACATGGTGTTCGTTATGGCCAAAATGCGGCTTGCACAGAAGTCCAATAACGAAACACCACTCAAGTTCAGATCAAGCGGGCCGTTCCTCCCAATCACACCCCTCCAGGTCAGGCTGTCTTTGCCCACATGAGCATTGAAGTCCCCCAGCAGGACAATGGAGTCCCCTGATGGAGCACACCACTATCACTCATCCCGGGGACTCCAAAAAGGGTGGTTACTCTGAACTGATATTTGGCCCATAAGCGCAAACAACTGTCAGGACCCGTTCCCCGACCTGAAGGCGCAGGGAAGCTACCCTCTCGTCCCACGGGGTAAACCCCAACACACAGGCAGAGAGTCTTGGGGCTAACAAAAAGCCATCCCCAGCCCTCCGCCTCTCAACCGGAGCAACTCCAGCAAAAGAGAGTGCCCACCCCCTCTCAAGGACTTGGGTTCCAGAGCCAATGCTATGTGTTGAGGTGAGTCCGACTATATCCAGCCGGTACCGCTCAACCTCTGCCACAAGCTCCTGCTCCTTCCACGCCAGCGAGGTGACGTTTATTGTCCCAAAAACCAGTTTCCTTGTCCTGGGATCCGACCGCCAAGGCTCCCGCCTCGGTCTGCCACCCGATCCACACTGCACCGGACCCTTCATGTTCCTCCTGCGGGTGGTGGGTCCACAGTTGGTTGAGCCCATGTATCTGGTTCGGGCTGGGCCCGGCCGGGCCCCATGGGTGAAAGCCCGGCCGCCAGGCACTCGCTCACAGGCCCCAACCCCAGGCCTGGCTCCAGGGTGGGACCCCGGTAACCCTCTGGGCCGGGTACTCCAACTCTTTGAATTTACATCCATGAAAGATCCTCTGAACCGTTCTTTGTCTCACCCTTCACTGTCATGAGAGACCCTACCAGGGGCACAAAGTGCCCCAGACAACATACAGTAGCTCCTAGGATCATTAGGGCACTCAAACTCTTCCACCACGATAAGGTGACGGTTCAAGGAGGATTTAGCTGTAAATTTAATTAAAGAGGTTGAACACTTGTTTATTCAATATTTTTCCATTGGTATCGAGTAGGATTTAATGCCTTGTAGTTTGTACTTTGGGGAAGAAAAACACCGGTGCACCATTTTCAGGAACTAGAAGTGAGCCACATCACAGCTGAGCTTCAGATGGCAGGATTTCAAGTCTTATTTCCAGATATTTGGACATCTATCCATGGATTGGATAACAGCAACGAGACTAACCACTGACTTGCAACATTGATGAATTTTCTTCACAAATAAGACCAGCCTGCAGGGGTTCTACTGTGTGGTGGAGTTGCTAACGCTAATGGTTAGCCTCTACTTGCTGAGACATTCTCTGCTGTTTCCTGGACTCTAAACCAACAACAGCCTTCACCATCGTGAGTCAAGATGGATGAGTCCATGATGGACGTAGATCTGCCAGGCATTTCTAATCCTAGAGTTTCACTGTTCATTAGAAGCTAATGCAGGTGATAGGTGTAGGAGACTATTTTCATGTCCAGCCTGCATGTTAAAGCTGAATATTTGCTTCTAAACCACTGTTACCATTGTTAGCTCAGCATTAGCCTCTAGCCTTCTTCACCTGAGTTTAGAGTAAAACAAAAGGATGTCGTGGCTTCTTAGGGGTACAAGAAATAATTTCTAGGTCGCTCCTGTTTGCCGGCTTTGGTTTTTTAAACAATTCTGGAGCTTTTTGGTGGCTGGTGTCGAATTACAAATACCAGCGCTTCATTATTACCTCACCGCAGACTCGGCATGATTACAGGCTCACATATATTAAACAGAAACATTCCTCCTGTGTTTTTTAAAGGAGAAAAACTGACAATTTCCCAGTCGGCTGAGAAGGAAATCTGTTTCAATATAACCTTCCTTCCAACATGACTGAGACATTAGACTGTTTTGTTATTATTATCTTTCCTACATATTGCACCTTTAAAAATGTTTCAAGTTGAAGCATACATTTCTGGCTATACGCCAAAATTATGCTTTTTTTGGGTCAAATCCACACACCTGAAAGCTGGCTAGCCATCCTGCGCAGAGTGACTGAGGAGGAGCGAATCTGGACTTCGCCGCTGTCTAGAAATATCAGGCCATCAGTTACGTACTTTAACTGAGAATCTCGTGCCTTTCCCAGAGGATTTTTTATAGTGAAGTTGTCCACATATTTTTCCAGAGGGTCATCTAATGAACCAATCTTTCCATCCTCCCAAAGTCTGTACAGCATCAGGGTTGGGAAAATCTTGGATAAGCTTGCAATCCTGCAAAACAGATAATAGGGCATGGTTATTTGTTGCATATTTTAATGCGAAGAGCACATGTTTTTACTTTCTTATTTTAAGAAGCTTTTTTATCAATACAGTCCCCCCAGCAAACTTTTTATCCGATTATATTCTGGTTTACATGACAGCCCAAAGCAGCCTCATTTATAAATAACAGAACTCCAAGCAGCAGGGGGTGTTTCCAAAAAGAGTACATGCTATCCTGCTGTACCTGAGCCATTACAATATTGCAATTTCCCCACTGAGGGACTAGTAAAGGTATTCTTATTCTTATAAGAAGATTTCAGACTCAAAGTTTGCAGGTGCCACTCAATTTTGAATTTTAAACTTTTAATCATCAGTTCTGCAGGAATGAGCACTGACACATAGCAGGTTTTCAGTTTGTTTTCTTGAATGCCGTGGGTTTTTAGGTCTAAATGTGTGTTATTGTAGAATTAGAATTAGAATTAGAATTTAATTGTTTGAATGGGACAATGCATATTAATGAACGTACAAGACGTAAATATACCAGATTTAGCAAAGCTAGTTTCCATCCGTAGTCCCATGTACATAAGGCAAAGACATTACAATTTAAAACAAGGTAATTAAAAAAGAAAACATACAAAGAATTAAAAACAAAGATAGCTGAAATATGTAAATAACATAGCTCCTTATATTCTCCATATGTGCAAAGAATCAAATTGAGACATGAGGCAAAGCATTAGATTACTTGGACAAAACGACAAGAAAAACACGTATGAATTAGACCAGATGATTAATGTTTGCATTGGCGAATTCCGAGTAGCCATGTTTTCAACTGACTTTTAAAAATATGGAGGGAAGGACTGTCTCTTATATTAACTGGTAACTTATTCCTCTCACTGCATCCCTTAATTGATGAAGTACTCTGTGCAAATGTAGTTTTCCTATCTTTAACCTGGCAATCCCCCCGTGAGGATGATCGGGTATTTCTGGTACTTTTTTGCCTTTTAAAGTATTCCAGTGGGGGTGCCGGTGTGTTGCCTGTCAGTGAGCTGTAAATGAGACGGAAGTTTTTAAAAGTCATAAAATTATTAAAGGTTATGTTTTTCTAAAATCTTGCAAATGTGATAGGGTGGTGGTTTTGGGTCTAAAGTCTTTATTGCTTTTTTATATATTTGTTTAATTGGTTTTAATGCAGAGTCACTGGTAAATGACCATGTTGTGGAACAATATTCAATGTGGGAAAAAATCATACAGTTAGGATACAGTTTAGCTGCTTCCTCTGACATCAACAGTCTTATTTCTTCAAAATTATGCAGATTACAATTTAGAGGTTTAATTATTTGTTTGATATGTTTTTGGAATGTAAGGTTGCAGTCCAAGGTGACACCCAGATATTTGTAATTTGTGACCAACTCCAATTCCTCAGCTTCCAGGAACACTGAAGACCTAGCCTAGTGAACTAGACCAAATTCTTGCTTTTATTTAGTCTGGCTTGCCAGGCTACTGAAGACCCAGACCATACATACTTTTCTTTTCTTAACCAGAGCAGATTTTACAGGTTTTCTTGTAAACATCATGCACACTGTTTTCTTTGTTTTCAGGGACAGACAATGTTCCTTCAGCCAGGTTTGGATTTTGGACATGGCGTTTGTAAGCATTTGTGCAACAATTTTCTTGTCCTTACCCTGAACAAAGATCACAGCATCATCAGCGTACATAACTGTGTTAAGTTCAGGGCATACAGTCGGTAATTTATTTATGTAAATAGAAAATAGTATTGGTCCCAAAATTGATCCTTGTGGATCTCTGACCTTACAAGTAACAGAGGCAAATCTGACACCGTTCACAGTTACACATTGTGTTCTGTTGTTGAGATATGATCTAAACCACTGAATGCAATCACTTGAGAAGTTGAAATAAGTGAGCTTGTTCAATAAAATTTCATGGTTTACAGTATCAAAGGCTTTCTTTAAATCCAAAAATACTGCTCCCACATATGGATTTGTATCTGACAGACCCTTGACCTGTTCTATGAAGAAACAAAGAGCTGTTTCAGTGGAGTGTCTAGCCCTAAACCCAAACTGGCATTGGGCCAATGGAAAATGACCCTCATCTAGATGGCTAGTTAACTGAACAGCAATCCATTTTTCTACAGTTTGGACATGATGGGTAGAATACTGATAGGTCAATAATTGGCCAAGTCAGTCTTTAGCCCGTTCTTAAATATTGGTGTAACAATTGCCTCCTTCCAAGAGGAGGGAACTCTACACTGGCTGATAGATTGGTTAACCATTAATATAACTGGTGGGACTAATGCTTCAATGTGTGTCTTAAGAAAATGAGAGTCAATTTCAGTTGTATCCTTTGCCTTTGAACATTAAAATTTTGTAATGATTTAGAATATATCCTCCTTAGTTGCATTAACTGGATGAAAGGTAGGCAAATCTTTATTAACTGGGCATGGAATAATAGAAGGGGACGGGAAAAGATTTGTAAGGCTGGTTACGCTTTCTATAAAAATTATTGAAATAATTTGCAACCACAAACACTTAATAACTTAAGTGTTAGTGGTTAGCTCAGTAGGTCCACTTATTATTCTTACCTAGAAATTTCTGAATAGTCTGCCACATTATCTTACTATTTCCTTTTGCATTGTGCCTAATGGTAATAAAAACTTTGCCTTAGCTTTTCGTATAGATTGGGTAGCATTACTCCTTGCCTGTGTGAATTTCAGTCTGTCAGTTAATAATCTAGAGCGTAAATATTGTCTGAGCAGCAGATCCCTGGACTTTAGCAGGCTATAGCAATTGTCGTCTACCCAAGGTAATGAATTTGCTTTCCTTTTTTGCCTATATTTAGCTGTCGCGTTTAAAGATGAGATCACCTCTTTAAGTTTTTCAGCAAAAGCCTTGCGGTTTGCTTAAATGTTTGAATTAGAGAAAATGTCGACCCTGTTTATTTTTCCTAGTTCTTTACTAATATTCTCTTTCTGATTATGTATAGTTGTTGGTATGGCGATATGTGAGGTGAAGGTGACGTGCGATCTTGCATATCTCTGTTTTAATAGCTTCCTAGAGAAAAAATGCTGTTATGATCTGAGAGGCCAGTCACAAAGTTATGTGTTTTAGCTATCCTATCAGGCTCATTGGTAAATAATAGGTCTATGGTTGTCTGTGATTTCTCTGTTAGTCTTGTGCAGAGATCCTCAATTATAATGGTCCGAGGGCCACACACAAAAAAGACCCAGAAGCAAGAGGGCCGGGAGGGTTGTGTGTGTGTGTGTGTGTGGTGGGGGTGGGGGTGGGGGGGTGCTGTTGGATCCCTGCCTGCCGACAGCTGTGAACCTACTCGAGTAAGCAGAGCCAGAGGCCGGGCTCAAGTCAGACCCGGAGGAGACACGACCCGAAGACGCGGTGGAAGATGCGGCGGAAGACGCTGTAGCGCCAACGCCGTCAACATCAGCGCCTTCACAGAAGGACAAACTGGAAGAACAGTAGCCAGCCAGAAGTGAGTCCAATATAGTCTTACAGGAGCCTCTAGACCCAGACAGGGTATTAACAACTAGCTACCCATCTGATCCTGCAAAGTGGTACCAAACTGATGAGTACTTTGCACTAAACTATCCCTCTCAAAATATTGGATATTCTTCTGCATCACAGAGGAAATCTGGAGACATAGACTGAAGCTTAACCAAGGAACATTTCTTTAGACGTGTTTCTGCTGTGATTGAGGCATGTGATGCTGGAAGGCTGAAGATTATCCCAGAGTAGATAATGCTAAATGATTTCCTTGGTAAGTGTTGCTGGTTTTATTAATTATTTGTCAAATAATTTTATTAATATTCAAATAGCAAAACAATAAGTTCACACTCAGAAAATTGACAGAATTTCTGATTCAGCAGAGGCAACAGCCTACAACACATGACTTATTTTGGCATACAAACAACCAATTTGTAACCAAAAACTAGGCTATGTAAAATGTGAATGAACTTTTATAAGTACATTTTGTAAGTTTCAGATTTCAATTCATTACATAACATCGATGGAGGGGGTGGGGGTGGGGGTGGGGGCTAAAAATGCAGCCTGCCTAGTGTAGTCCATTTATTTAATCCGGCTCTGCTGGTGCCACCATTAAAATAACAAAACCACATTCCACTACAATTGATTATGGTACTCTTCTATGAAGCAGAATCGTTTAAGCCTGCATCTCATGCATTGATTACTTGATTATTTTCCTCAGCTCTATCTATCCTACACCTCCCGGTTGGCCATCAGGGGTGAGGGTGGGGGGTGTGCGCGGGGTTTGGGGGCCACAAAGAGAGGGCTCGCGGGCCGCCATTTGTGGACCACTGGTCTAGTGGGTTGATCTATTAGCTGCTTAAAGTTATAGAAATCCATTATTTGCTTTAGGCTTCTTCTTTCCTTTTTGTCATCCTAGTTTATAATAAAAACCACCCATGATGATGATCTCCTTGTCATGATCACAAGATTTCAGTAACTCTTTTAACTGCTCATTGAAACCTACTTTAGAGGATGGGCTGCGATAGACACAAATAAGAGTAAATGACATTTCCTTTAACAAGGTAATTTGTGCTCCAACTATTTCCAGTGTAGTCTTATGATGCCAGGATTACTGCTGGCAAGTTAGTGTATCTTTAATGTACAGCAATACTCCCCCTCCTTTTGACCCCACCCTATCTTTCCTAAAAGTCTTAAACCAGGTATATTTACTAATGCTTCAGCTGATGATGGTTTTAACCAAGATCCCGAAAGTCCAAAGCAGTCGATGTTAGAATTACAGAGTAGATGCTCCAAATGTTCCCTTTATTTCCATTGCTTCTAATGTTCAGATGTCCACATAGTAATCCTTTGGGCTTGGTTTCTGGATCCCAAATTAGTTTAGACTGATTTAGTGTTCCAAACAGCTTCCTTTTCCTATGATATTTTACAACAGGATTTCTAGATTATACCTTGATGTGAGTGGAAGCATCCAAGACCGATGTAATGGAGTTGGTT